TAAATGGATGGGTGAGGAAAAAATACTGAAAGGAAGAACTATTTTTAATCCTAACACACTGATGAGAACAGTTTATATTCCACCTAGAATCTAATATGAACATAGTTTTTCACTGTGATTGCATACCTATTTTTTTTCATTTTTTAACAAATTGAAGGAATTAAATGTAGAGGTCCCCTAAATTATTTCCTATCATTTGTACATTCAATAAATACTGAGCATTTACTATGTGCTAGACCCTCTGCTAGGTACTAGGTACACTGTGACAAAACTGACACAAGTGTGATTCTTGAACTCTTCTAATGAAAGGAATAATAAATAATCAAATGATTAAGTTATAACTACAAATAAGAAAAGCCATGAAGAAAAAGCAGATCAGGCCGGGCGCTGTGGCTCACGCCTGTAATCCTAGCTCTTGGGAGGCCGAGGCGGGCGGATTGCTCAAGGTCAGGAGTTCAAAAACCAGCCTGAGCAAGAGCGAGACCCCGTCTCTACTATAAATAGAAAGAAATTAATTGGCCAACTGATATATATATAAAAAATTAGCCGGGCATGGTGGCGCATGCCTGTAGTCCCAGCTACCCGGGAGGCTGAGGCAGAAGGATCGCTTGAGCCCAGGAGTTTGAGGTTGCTGTGAGCTAGGCTGACGCCACGGCACTCACTCTAGCCTGGGCAACAAAGCGAGACTCTGTCTCAAAAAAAAAAAAAAAGCAGATCAGGTGGTCAGGAAAGTCCCTTCTGAGGAGGTACTGGCTCCTTCTCAACCTTGAAGTCTCAGGAAGTCAAGAAAAGAGTGGGAGAACAGACAAAAGGATCAACTCTTTTTTGCAATGACCTTGAACAGGTAGTTTGCTACATTCAGTGTAATAAAAGATCAGTGTGGAAAGAAAACAATGGGCAAAGAGAGTAGCTAGAGATAATAAGAAATGGTAGGGAGGTATGAGAATGAAGAGATAGATGAAAACAATAGTCATATAAAGGGCTTGGATTTCATTCTACGTGCACAGAGAACCAACTAAATACTTTTAAGAAAACTGCTGTAAATATTTCAAAAGACCACTCCACTGGAGAATGTACTGACTGGGTAAAGACAAAAGTGAAAAGGAGGAGTCAATTAGGAAACTATTAAAATAGTAAAGGAGAGACAGCATGGTGGAAAGAGACAAGAAATAGGCTCTACTGCCTTCCTAATTATCATATAATATCAACACTTAATTTATACTTACCGTACTTATTTATACATACTGTGTAATAGCTATTCTAGAAAGCAATTCCATAATACAGTCATTTAAAATTACTGAAATTAATTAAAATTTGTATTGTATCCCAAAATATTTTTATGAGTTATTTTGTCCTGCCAACTAATATCCAGCAAACTTTATTAAAAAATACAAAGATAAAAATATAAAAGAGGGGGAAAAATTTTGGTCTTTTCCCAAATTTAAGTCATAATTTTTATATTGTATTTTGCCTATCTTATCTTGCCTTATTTTATAAATATGGTAACAAAACTGAACAATTCATAAAACTATCCTTCCTTTATACTTATTACTGCAAATACCTTTAATAGTAGATATAAATTTAAAAATGAAGGAAAAACCACCAAAATTTCCCAGTTGGGGGTAATAAATGATGAGGACTAGGAAAAAACCATTTTTCCTAGGAAAAGGAATGTACTGCCCTGCAGTATAGCTATACTAGTGTTCCCAATATCTCATAAACCCTCTTCTTTGGACATTCACTGAACAAATATTTACTGAGTGCCAACTATATACCAGTTATTTTTATGTAAGTTTCCTTTGTTGCTTTCTTAATTAAGCAGAAAATAAAGAGGTGGCTGTAGTAATCTCCTTAATAGTGAGCAAGAAACATGACTGTTTCTTCCCAGGAGGAAGAAACCCAGAGCTTCCTAGATGCATCAGTCAATATGTTCTCCCCTGCCTTGCAACAGCAGCAATGGGAGAACTGTGAGAGGGAGGGAAATGGCTAATACAACAAGAAGGAAAAAGATGCCTCAAGTTCTTACATGATAGGAGTGACAGAGTTGACTCTTTCAATATACTAATGATGTCCCCAAAAGCCAACTCCTTCTTGACAATCTAGTAACAATGCCCAAAACATATTACATATACTTCCCGTGATGCTATCCCAAGTTTTGCCTATCATCATTTAGCAATCCTCTTAGGAACATCTCTTGCTCAATTTCCTTACTTATTCTGATAAGCAGAGCAATTTGAATGAACCTCCAATAAAGCAAGTCAGTGTCTACTTCCTACCCTCATTAAGACATCATGCTGTGTTCATTTATACTTCAGAAATTAATGGCATGGTAACAATATTAGTGACAACTGGAAAAGATCTCTTCCTTTATGTGCTACTGGACATAACAACAGCTTTTTGACAATGAAACAATCAAAGAAAATGAAAAAGCCTAGATATTACGATTAGTCAAATAAGATCAATCAAAAAAGCTGGGGGGGGGAGTTATAGTAAAACATAACAGGAAACTGAATCTTCAATTTTTGCTCAATTATCTTCCCATCATATATTAAAAGCTTCAGTTAGTAACTACTTCTTTATCTGGTATTGACCATAGCCAACACTGCCCTTCAAGTCAATTGGTAATAAAATCTGTTTCTTGCAGGCATCATTTCCAAGCAGACATCAACTCACTGGGCCAATCATTACAGTGTAGTTGTGCTGACTACTTTCTAAGAAATAATGGCCTTTCCACTAACTTTTGATTTTAGAAAAAGTTCGTGTAAGGACAGCAGAAAGCTACAAAAACAAATAGGCTAATTCCCATGCTCACTCTGAATCCTCTACAGCAGAGGTTCATAGAATAAGCCTTTTATGATCCTACTGAATCCTGATCCTCTCCTCAGAAAAATGTACAGATGCACATTCATACAAAATGTAGCAAACAATTTCAGGAGGTTTAAAAAAAAAATGCCTTGAAGCTTATCAACAGAGTCAGGTCAAGAACCTGTTATAATGTTTCTAAAACACTAGTAGAGCTTTGTTCTGAACAAACTTCAAAACAGTTATAAAAGGTTTATGATCAGGTCTGAGACAGAGGAGCTGGTGGGAAACTGCAAGGAAAAGACAATAAAAGCAAAAGTAAAGTGAGATTCACAGCTATATGCTGTAGCCTATACTACAGCACAATGTTTATTCATTTGACAAATATTTATTGGCACTATTATATACTAGGCAAGGTGCTAAGAGATGTGATAGTGATCAAACTCTGATGTAGCTAACATGGTTCTTGCTCTCACATAGCTTATAAATATCAGGGGAAAGACAATCATAACTATAAACTGAAATACATTATTGGAATAAAAATGTATTTTACGAGAGCCTGCAATAAAAGAACCTAGCTTAGTTTGGAGGTTCACCAAGCTTCCGCAAAGTAAGGTTAATGTGAAATGTAACCAGTAAATAAGAGTTATCTATGCAGAAATTGGGGTGGGGAATAAAACTCAATAAGTCTTCCATTGTGAGAACCACATATTCTAAGATCTCATGGTGGAGGCAGTGTGGAGATTAGATAGTTGTACTAAGAAATTAAAAGATGTGGTTTCTTTTCAACAGCTTTCTTCTTAGCCTGTTACTTATCTTCTGATAAAAGTATATTCATCACAGGGTGGTTGAAAGAATTAAATCAGAGAATATACGCAAGGCACTTTGTTAACCACTTCCGTACCAGCGTCCACTATAGTCGATAGCCACAGATGAACGCATAGCGACTTTAGCCGACAGCCATGATATGAAGGTACACAGCCCAACGTGGATTTTAGCCGACAGCCGTGATATGACTTTTCTAATTTTTCATTTATCAAAATAAAATTGTGAACATTTAAAAATAACATAATGAAAACATATATGTATATGTTACCTATTCTAATTTACGTTACAAGTAAAGCTGCCTGTAAAGCAAAACAAGCTTTCAGTGCTTTAAAGCTTTCCTCATCACACAATAGCAAAATGGATTCATCGTCAATGCACAGCACAAACTATCATGCGGACTATGAGTGGCAGCTGTGGGCAAGGTTTCACAGCCAGTGAGCGTGGTACCGAAGTGGTTAAATGCTGTGGCACATAGTACGTGCTCACTAAGAGTTAGTGATAATGATGAGTATACATTAGTTAAGGAAACCTGTATTTAGTATGTAAATATTAAAATTGCCTGGGTATACTCAACCCTATGATGTTAGTGGTTCCTAAAGTTACCAATACAATGTCTAACACAATGTATAAGTAACTTAGATATTTTAATAGTGCTTGCTCTTCAATTTTACTTATATAAATGTACTAAAAAGAGCTATATTTCAATATAGCAGAAATACAGTCATCCCTTGGCATTCACAGGGGATTTGTTCGGGGACCCCACTTCAATACTAAAATCCAGCACATGCTCAAGTCCTGCAGTTGGCCCTTTGGAACCAGCAGATCTGAAAAGCTGACCTTCCCTATCCTTGATCTTCACATCCTGTAAATACTGTATTTTCCATCCATGTCTGGTTGTAGATGCGAAACCCGCACATACACAGGGCCAATTTTATTTACTGAAAAAAATGCCGCATAAAAGTAGACTACACAGTTAAGCTCATGTTGTTCAAGGGTCAAATGTGCATGTTATCTCTAACTAAGAATCTCTACCATCGGGATTCTTTTTTTAAACAAACCAACTTACTGACAAATTGTGGGAAATGCTGAAGTGAAACAAGCTGAGGTACAGTTAAAAAAAAACTTTACATTTCACTTTGTCTCTATGTGAAGTATTATATGGATCCCCAGTAATGGAGAATCTATTATTTATGTAGAAGTCTGTTAATATTCAACGAAATATATCCTTTTCAGATATACTGCCCTTGAGTATTGAGCACGTTTTCCCTAACCTTAAATATCTGTAGTACACCTCCTGGCCTGAGATTACTCAATAGGTCAGAACTAAGACAGCAAGACACAATTTCTGTACTACAAAAAGGCCACATTACCTGGAAAACTAGTCTTCATTATATCAATTCCAACTTGTAGTTCAGGTTCAGCAGCAAGCACCGCAAAGTCCCCTTGATGAGAGATGTTAAAGTTGAAATTGGGGTAAGGATTCAATGAGTCCTTTGCAAGAACTGGTTTTCCTTTTGCAGTTCTTTGCAAACGGATATTATTCCAAGGGATATTCAATTTCTCTGCAACTAATTTCCTTATCATCAGACGACCAGCCTGTTAAGTACATAGAACATTTGATATGTATTGATGCTTACTAAAGATACACATATATTGCCTGTAATATACAAAGTATGTTTTTGTAGTTTCTAAAATTTCTTTTTAAAAGTTTGCAAACTTCGTAAGTACTAAATCCACTGCATTAAGATTTAAGCAATGCTTAATTAGCTAGAACGTTAAAGCCCTGCTTATCAACTCCCTCCCCTTAACTAATAACCAATGTTAACAGCAAGTATCCTTTTGGTCTTTTCTCTAAGTATTTATATATATATATGCATTTGCATACATTTTTTATTAACTCTATAAGAACACATATATGAGTTCACACTTATGTAGTATTCTACTACACATAGGTTTTTAATTTGTAAGTACTGGGAATTACTTTACGTCTATACTTATTGGTCTGTTCTGTGCACTTTTAACTGTCGCATAATATTTCATAGTATTGAGGTACAAAAGAAGTATTGACTATTCCCTGATTATTGTGCATTTTAGACTGGCTCTATATTTGCTATTCTAAAAAAGTCCACAGTAATCAGCCCTATTGTACCTTACATCCAAGCATGTGTATTTCTAGATCCTATATACCCATCATCCAGCTTCAGCAATTAGCAAGGCATGACTTATCTTGTTCACTCATCTTGTTCACTATCTCCTACCTCCATTAATTATTAAGACAGAAATTACTAAAAACACAAAAGCACCAAGGGTATACGATAGCAAAGTATATTATTTAAAAAAAATACCTTTCAGGGTTTTTCCCTCCTTCAATCCTAACAACTTTAAAAAAACTACAGGCCTTCAGAATTAGTTCATTTCACAACTTCTTACAATTATAAAAAAAAAGTATAAAAACAGTCACTAGTATGCCTTCAAAAAATTACCAACTAGCCCACATTTCAAACAGAAAGGTGTTTCAACATGGTACATTTTCAAGAAATGTCTTGGAAGTGATGGTAATTAGAGGTTGTTTCGAAATTGTACTATACAGTAGAGTGTATTTATTTTGAAATCCAATTTTCCATTTGTTGATTAACAATACATAACTAAAATAAATAAATCTATTTAAAATACTGTTTCCTAAGGTACCTAGTCAGGAAAGTATGCCTGGGCCTGTATTCTCTCTGGGCTTCTTTTTCATTGGTAAAAGGCGCTGGCTTAGGCCTCCTCCAATCCCAGGGTGCGCAAGGCCACAAACTAAGTCATATGTCAATATTTCCTAGGGCCTACCACGTGTAGGGTACCTTTGGGCGGTAGTAGGGTATTTAACAGGCAGACTAAGCATGGGCTGTGAACCCAAAGCAAAGAAAAAAACAGAAATGGATAACATTTAAAAATAAAAACATTCATTACGAAAAAAACTATTTCACAGACCTCCCCTACACATATTTTATGGCTTAGTGGGGGTCTCTATTTTCAATCACACGGGTAAGGAGCTAATTTTCACAGTGGTCGAGGCCTCCGCGGAGGTTACAAAGACCGTGGAGACCAGGCCGTGCGCACGCCAGAAACACCGCAGCGCCGACCACTCTCGCCCCGGGCAGGCCACGAGTGGTCCAGGAGCGAGGGCGTCGACGCTAGGGCGGGAAGGTGGGTGTCCACAGCCCGGCCCACCTCCCCCAACATCTGCTTCCTCCGCTCTAAATACCAAAAGACCTGTAGTACCATGGCTGCCTTAGCGTCCCGGGCAAAGACGAACTGGCCAATGCGCTCCTTCTCCTCGGGCTGGATCGATCGCACTGCCAGCAGCCATTCGGCTCGGCTCGGCAGCCAAGTGCCGCAGGAAAAGGCCCAGCGCACGCCCTCCATGGATGGCACCAAGCACAACCGCTTGGCTGGGAAAACCATACACAGAGAACAGAACCCTTCCGCCACCCTTCTGCCTGATGGCGCGGACGCTAGCGTAGCCCCGCCCCTTCTTCCCTGCGTCTGTGCGCGGGGGGCGGGCCCTCCCCGCCCTGTTCTTGCCCGCACAGACGCAGGAGGCGGGGCCTCGCCCTATGACGGCAGGCACGTTGCCCTCGGAGAGCCCTCACTGCCCCGCCCCCAGCTCAGCCTACGCCAATCGGAGAAAGCTGCCGGGGGCGGAGACCGACGCCAGCCTCTGCGCTTTGCGGCACTGTGTGACGTCACGTGGGACGTGGCCTCGGAGGGTTGCGAAGGGCGGGACCAAGGCCGAGAGCCCGACAGTTACGCCACTCACACTTGGGGAAGAGTTAACGGGACAGCGGTGCAAGCCAATCGCAACCAGTCCTCTAGAGGAAGGGAGACCGGGGTGGAGACTACGGAGACTGCAGTTGCAGGTGGGTGAGCTCCGGGGTCTGAGGGAGGAGTGGGATGGTAGCGCATTATTCCCGGGGACTGGGTTTGGCCCCTGTGACCCACAGAAAAGAGGATTTCTTTGGCGTCGGCTGCTTCTGTCGCTCCTTCGGGGGCAGGAGGGATTTCCGTGTCGAGGAAGGGTTTGCCGTGGTGACCCCTGGAGTTGTACAACGCGGCAGCCCTGAGTTGCCTCTTTCCCTACCTCTCAGCCCCCTCGGCCAAAGACCCTCCCTCACACCTGACCCCACGTACCCTTAGCAGCCGCCTGCCCTCAAACCCTCCGTCTAAAGGCCGAGCAAAGACACTGCCCTCAGTGCGGGTCACGGGCCCCGCCTGACTCCGAGGCTGCCAGCGAGCGGCCGGGCTGTTGCTGACGGTTTTTTGCGGCGATGAAATGACCCAGGTGGTGTTTTGCGATTGCCAGTGGGCCGTGGAGAGAAAAGTGAGGACTCTGTTGTGAGTGGTTCCATCATAACAGAGGTCCTTGCTCTAATAGCAGCAGAACCAAGTGAAAACTTAAGCGGCCCTTCAGATTTACCCTGGGCCTTTCCTTAGATTTTCTCAGACTTTATAAAGGGCCATATTGATGTATTTCTCTGTTTTCAGAGTTTTTACGTGTAGACTGTTGTTGATTCTTTGTGAAAGCCCATGTGATCAAAGTCCCCTGCGGTTTTCCGTCCTGGAAAAAGTAGGGCTCTGCAGAGGAGTGTAAATGCCTGACTTGGTGGTCCATTAGGTGTCATACTGTGCACGTACACACATAAACACTCAAATACAAACCTTCAAAGGAAAGTAAAATGAGTTACTGGCTTGATATATATACTTAGCTAATACTTACTAAAAACCTGTGCCAGGTGCCATATTTAAGATGTTTACTACCTGCAGGGAGTTTATAATCTGGCAAGGCAGTTAAAACGTACTTAAAAAGCTACAGTAAAAGAAAATGTAAAGGTAAAAAGGTACTCCACTAGTAATATCAGCAGTGATCATAACTCAGTTCTCCATTTTTAACTTTATAACTTTTTCTTTCCTTTTTGAACTGATTTTTATAACTGTTCTGTTTCTAAAACACTTTTATATACATTATCTTACATGTCCTTCTGTGCAGTAGTTATTGCTGATGGAGAAGCTGAGCTCAGAAAGACAATTTGTGGAATTGTTTAAATTCATATTTAGAAATTCGTATCCCATTCTTTTACCATTGAACAAGATTTGTGTGTATTAGATCTATGGAGCCTAATATATAGGCAAGTAATGTAGTGGATATTTGTACTTGTTCTCTCTGCCTAGAATATTCTTCTCTCCTCCCATCACCACATTCCTTGTTCCTCTGTATCATTCAGGCTCAAATGTCATACCAAAGAGAATATCTCTGCCTACCCAATCTAAAATAGCTCATTCACTCCACTCCCTACCACCAGTCCTAAGCCTAGTACCCTAGTGAACATTCTTTATAGCTTTAATTTAATCCCTTTCCTTATTTACTTTTTTTTTTTTTAGAACAACTCAAGACATGTACCTATTTACTTTTTAAAATCTTCCTTGTCATCCTTCAAAGCTTAGCTTAAACCTTACCTTCTTTTAAGGCCTACTCCAGAGTACTTTTCTTAAAAACGGTATTGTTTATATAATTCATTTGGCAGTTACTCTAGTACTGCCTTATGACATCTCTCCTGTTGTCCTGAATTATTTGCATGTGTGTTATCCTGCAAATTAGAATGTAAGCTATTTGAGAAGGAATTTCATGTATATTTTAACTTTTACAAGTAGTATATATGAGCAAATGTAATTAATTGACTTTTATAATAGATTTTATTCTCAGGGGTAAGACTGATTTTTATATTCTGTCTACCTTCCCTAACTTTTTTAAAGAAAACATAAATATGCAGTTCATAACTTGCTTAACTATATTCAATAAACCCCAAAATTTTATTAAAATATTTTTTTATTGCATTGTTTGGGGGAAGAAGACTAAAGTAACACAGGCTCAGCTAGTTTGTGAGTAATGGTCGTCTTGTCTGATCCTGATTTGTGGTTCTTAGCAGGATTCTGGGAGACTCATGTTCTATTTCTAGCTCTACCACCAGTTATCCATGTGGCCTTGGGTAAATCACATATTCTTTTCCAGATATTAATTTCAATGGAAAGGCATCAAATGAGATCATCTCTAAGTGTAGGTGATTTTTAGGTAATATTCACTAGCATTTTATTGGGTCACAAATTTCATTCTAATTCTAATCTTATTTCTAAGACGTCATTGAATAGCTCCATAATTCTCCCAGTTTCTCAAGGAAGAAACCATGATTCTCCCTCACTGTCCCTCACTCTCCATATCCAATTCATCCAACAGTCCTATTGGTTATGCTTCTGAAATATAGCTAAATCCTTGTATTTCTGTTTATTACCAGTGTTAACACTCTAGTCTAAACCAGCATCATTTCTCACCTGAAGCACTGATGAGTTTTCTAGCCTGCACAAGAAAGGGGGGAGCATTCTCTTCCAACATCTGTCCTCCATGCCATAAGCACAACTTGTCTTCAAAGGTAGCTCTAGAAAGCCATGCCCTTAATCACTATGCTGTATTGCCTTTTAATTAGACTGAGAAGGAGAAGTTAGCAAGGAGGAAACCTGAAGAGTGTTTCAAGAAGAGGGACTAGTTAACAGTGTGAATATGTTAAGTGTGAAAAAGTTTGTGTCTTAAAATCAGTGAAATATCATAATTGAATTTGAAGAATATTTGGAGAAAAATAATTGCCAAACAAATCTTTTGCCAAGAATTAAGAATTAATAGTTAATAAGTTTATTGATTTTAATCTTTAATACTTGTATGTCACTTTACAATACTAATTGAATATTCATGATATCATTTAGGTATCACAGCAGTCCAATATGATAGGTGTGTCCACTTTTGCAGGTAAGGAAGCTAAAGCCTCAGAGAGCCTCAGCAGTAATCACTAATAAATGATGGACCCTTTAGGACCCTCTTCTTCCAGCGCCAAATACCACATTCTTTGTTATTTGCAAAATATACAAGTAGCGATTTACTCAAACTAAATTTAAGAAATGGACATTTTTCAGCCTCTTAGATTTGTTATCTTGTGTCAAATATATTAATACATGGCAGGCTTTATTTTTTAACAACTTTATAAAAGTGTATAGCTATGTATAATCCTAATATATTTTAGGATACTTGAAATTTTCTAGTAGAGTTTTTTTTTTTTTTTGCTATTTACAGAAATAAAAATTACTTTGTGCTTACATCATTGGGTTCAATTGTTATTAATGATCCCTGAACCATGAGTGTCAATAATTGACTTAATTTAACACAATACTTAAAACACATACATGATTTTAATAACAATAAACTATTTTAAGTTAATTGAAAACCTGGAATATCAAAGTAGTTTCTGAATTGAATTGATATTTCTTTTAATTAAAAAAATAATTATAGATACACAGGAAGTTGTGAAGATAGATACAGCACCCCCATGTACCCTTCACCCAGTTTCCCATAGTGATTTAATCCATAATATAGTAAAAAATCAAAACCAGGAATTTGACATTAGTACAATGTGTGTGTGTAGTTTCATGTGATTTTCTCATGTATAGATTCCCATAACCATCACCACAATCAAGATACATATTACTGTAGATTACCACAAAGGTCTCCCTTGTGCATACCCACCTCCACGATCCTCAACCCCTGGCAACCATTAATCTATTTTCCATGTCTATAATTTTATTATTTCAAGAATGTTATAGAAATGAAATTGCATAGCATGTGACCTTTTGAGATTGGCTTTTTTCCTCCACTCATTGTAATGCCTTTGAAATCCATCTACATTGTTATATATGTAAATAGTTTGTCCCTTTTTAATGGTGAGTAATATTCCATGGTAAATGAGTAAGCCACAGTTTGTTTACTCATTCATCAACTGCACAACATTTTGGCTGTTTTCAGTTTTTGACTATACAAATAACACTGTTATGAATTAGCATGTACAGGTTTTTGTGCACATATAAATTCTCATTTCTCTAGGATAAATGCTCAGCAGTATGATTATTGGATACCATGTTTCCCCGAAAATAAGATAGGGTCTTATATTTATTTATTCTCGAGAAGATACCCTAAGGTTTATTTTCAAGGGATGTGTTATTTTCCCCTCAAAGTCTCAGCTTGCAGCACGCACAGGATGGCCGGGACCTGATGAGGGGGGAGCCGACCTTGTTCGTGGGGCTGCCCACACCTTTCTGGTCACCTCTGGGACAGTAGCTGTCACAATGGGGCAGATGAGAAGGCTGCTCTTCTTCTTTACTGCTCCAGGGCTAAATGCATGGGTTGTGCAGATAGGCTGCATAGCCATGCCCATCACTAGGTCTTATTTTCGGGGTAGGGCTTATATTGTGCAAATGCTTAGAAATCCTGCTAGGGCTTATTTTATGGGTAGGTCTTATTTGGGGGGAAACACGGTAATATGGTAAATTTGTGTTTGATTTTTTTAAGAAACTGCCAGACTATTTCCACCAGCAATGTATTGGTGATCTATCATCTCTGTACTCTTTCAAACATTTGGTGTTGTCACTATTTTTAATTTTAGCCATTCTGATAGATGGGCAGTAATATTTCATTCTATTCTTAATTTGCACTTCCATAATGACTAATAATGTTAAACAACTTTACATGTGCTTATTTGCCATCTGTATATTCTCTTTGGTGAAATACCTCTTCATGCCTTTTGCTCATTTTTTAATTGTATTATCTAGTTTTTTACTGGTGAGTTTCAAGAGTTCTCTATATATTCCACCATTCTCAGATTTGGTTTGCAAATATTTTCCCTGGATCATAGCTTGTCTTTTTATCCTCTTAACAGGTTCTTTCACAGAGGAAAAAAAACATTTTTGATAAAATCCAACTTACCAATTTTTTTCTTTTATATATTGTGCTTTTGATGTCTAAGAATTTATTGACTAATGCCTGATTATAAAGATTTTCTCCCATATTTTCTTCTAAAAGTTTTATATTTTTATATTTTATGTTTAAATCTATGATTCATTTTGAGTTAAATTTTATATAAAGTATGATGTTTAGGTTGAAGCTCATTTTTTTTTGCCTGTGCATATCCATTTGTTTCAGCACTTTTTGTTGAAAAGATTATTTTTCTTCTATTGAATTGCGTTTGCACCTTTGTCAAAAGTCATTTGGTTGTATTTGTGTTGGGCTGTTTCTCAATTCTGTGTTCTGTTCCACTGATGTATGTGTTTATCCTTTCACTAATATCAGACAGACTTGATCACTGTGACTCTAGTATGTCTTGAAATCAAATAGACTGATTCTTCTCACATTATTCTTTTTCAAAATTGCATTAGATATTCTAGTTTTTTTATCATTCTACATAAATTTTACAGTAATTTCACCTATATCTACAAAAAAACATCTTGCTGAGCTTTTGATAAGAATTGTGTTAAACTTGTATATCAGTTTGAGGGGAATTGACATCTTTACTATGTTAACTTTTCCAATTTATAGACACAGCATGTCTTTCCATTTATTTTGTCTTCTTTGATTTCTTTTGTTAGCATTTAATAGTTTACAGCACACAAGTCCTATACGTGTTTTGTTAGATTTTTTCTTTTTTTAAGTTATTGTATTTTTAATATTTGTTTCTGTGTATTCATTGCTAGTGTTTAGAAATACAATTGGTTTTTGTGTGTTGCTCTTGTATCCTATGGCATTGCTGAACTTGCTTATTAGTTCTGTGAGGGTTTTTTTGGTATATTCCTTGAGATTTTTCACATAGCTTATCTTGGCATTTGTAAATAGAGACAGTTTTGTTTCTTCCTTTCCAATGTATATGCCTTTTATTGAATCACCTTGCTTAAGTTTGCTGGCTAGAGCTCTAGTACTATGACAAATAGCAGTAGTAAGAGGGTATTTCCTTGCTGTTTTCCTCATCTTAGCAGGCAAGACATTCAGTCTTTTCCTATTTAGTAGAATGGTAGCTATAGGTTTTTTGTTGATGTTCTCTGTCAAGTTGAGGTGGAGAAACTTTTCCATACTGTATTCTTTGTTTGCTAAGAGTTTTTGTCATGAATAGATATTGTATTTTTGTCAAATGTTTTTTCTGTATCAAATGATATGATCAATATACTGACTGATATTCAAATATTGAACCAGCCTTATATGCCTGAATAAACTTACTTGGCCATAGTGTATCATTCCTTTTATATATATTGCTGAATTCCTTTTGCTAAAGATTTTTTTAAGAATTTTTGCATCGTATTTGTGAAGGATCTTGGTCTATATTTGTGGGGTTTTGTTTGTTTGTTTGTTTGTTTGTTTGGGGTACTGTCTTTGTCCAGAGTATCACAGTAATGTGGCTTCATAAAATTAATTGGCAAGTGTTCCCTTCTCTTCTATTTTCTGGAAGAAATTGTGTAGAATTGGTATAATTGTTTTTAAAATTTGGGGTAACTTTAATTTCCTTAATTGTTACAGGACTGTTCAAATGACATATGTCATGCTGAGTGAGTTGTAATAATGTAAGCACTTAGTGCTATAAATTTTCCTATGAGCATGGTTTTAGCTGCATCTCACACATTTTGATATGTTATATTTTAATTTTTATTAAGTTCAATATATTTTTTCAATTACCCTTAAGACTTTCTCTTTTATCATGGTTTATTTAGAAGTATGTTATTTTCTTTCAAGTTCTCAGAGCTTTTTATGTTTTTTAATTTCTAATTCAATTTCATTGTGGTTAGAGAACATAATCTGTGATTTCAATTCTTTTGAAATCATTTTAGGTTGTTTTGTGAGACAGAATATGGTCAATCTAGATATATTTTCCATGGAGACTGAAAAAGAATATGTATTCTGCTATTGGTAGGTGGGGTTTTCTACAAATGTTGATTAGATTCTGTTGGTTAATGGCATTGGTGAGTTCTTCTATATCCTTACTGATTTATTATCTAGTTCTATTAATTTTAGAGAGAGGGGTATTGAAGTCTCCAGCTTTCATAGTGGATTTACCTATTTTTCTTTTCAGTTTTAGTAGTTTTTGCTTCACATATTTTACAGTTCAATTGTTTGGTGCATGCACATTTATGATTGCTAGTTTTGGTGGATTGACATTGTGTAATATTCCTCTTTCTCCCTGATAATTTTCCTTGCTGAAATCTACTTTATCCTATAATTATATTGCCACACTAGCTTTCTTTTAATTAATGCTTGCATAGTATATTTTTCTATCCTTTTACTTTCAACTTACGTGTATCATTGGAAGTAAATTACTTGTAGGAAGTATAAAGTTGGGTCAATTTTTAAATCTACTCTGGTAGTCTCTATCTTTTATTTGGAGTATATAGACCATTCATATTTAGTATAGTTATTGATATATTAGTACTTAGGTCTGTAATTTATTTTTTGCTCTTTATTCTTTCTGTTTTTAGTTCTTGGTTTTCTTTATTCTATCTTACTGTGCGTTACTTTAACCCTTTTTAGAATTCCTTTTTGATTTAGCTATAGTGACTTTGAGTGTTATCTCTTTGCATAGACGTTTTAGTGGTTGCCCAGCCTTTTCTGATACCACTCCAGTGGGGGAATAAGAGGAGAAGGGGTGAAGCACCTCATTACAGCCTACTATGGATGGAATTCAAGGCTCTCCATTGCACTTTTGCAGGTGTGGGTGGGTATAGAGCCACAATTTTTGTGTGGTATTCAGCTGGGGGAGAGTGGTTATTATCTTAAAACTTTTCTATCTTGCTAGGTTGCTTTTTTTCCTGGTCCTGTGAGATGTTTTTCTTGCAGCTTGCTTCTGGAAAACATTCCCAAACTGATGGTGTGAGAGCTTTCCCTCTGCTCTCACACCATAACAAATATCAACGCAGAAGAAGGCTTCTGTAACCAAATGTGGA